TCAGCTAACCAAGTACAAGGCAGCCATTGATGTTCTTTTTTTGCTTTTTGTGTACATACATTTTCTTCATTAATAATTGTCTCAGCTCTTATTGTTGTATTTGCTTGTATTGGATTTCACGTTCCAGTTTGAGTTTTCAGCTTCATTTTCGAATTCTTGTTCTATTCTGTAAAACATTTTGTGTGTCTCTTTGTATTGTACTTTTTTAGTGTGCACTCCAGTTTGATATTATATTTTGGTTTCTTGGTTCTATGGTTTCAATATTTTTTTGTGCTCTTTGTGTAAACTTTTTGTGTAGATATATATTTTTTTCTTCAGTTTAGGCATTAAATTTGTCGTTCTGATTTTTGTTGCTTTCCTTCTGTAAAAATTTTATTTGTGTCTTTTTAACCCTTTTTACAGCGTGCATGAATATGTATTTTCCTCGAATCTTAATTTAGTTTCAGAGTTTTCATCTTGAAATTCTTAGTTCCTGCTTTGCGGTTTGTTCTTATGCCCTTTTTATATTTCTTTTTGCATCTTAAAATTCACTTTTAATTAAATCATTAAATGTTACTGTTTGGGGGGGGGCATTTCATTTCCTTGAAATTGAATTTTGTTTTCAGTGGTCATTGCATTTAAGTGTCTTGAATAAATAAGATAGTAATGAAATACATGTTTCATGAAGTTTGGGAGTAAAGTGATGTGTGGCATCAGAATATTTCACACAGTTGAGATATGGGAAAAAGACTGGAAATAAATTATTTGCATCGATATGTCCTGACGACAATTTTAAAGAAAACAAAAAATGTGTTTGCATAAATTGAAGAATTATTTCCCTGTGTTGTGATTGAGAGGTTATGTTGGGGGAGGGGGGCGATGATAACTTCCTCAATGGCTCAAGGGGGAGATACTTTCAAAAAGGTTAAGAACCACTGGTTTAGAATACCAATGACAAAGTTCATGGCTAGTTGGAATTGTCATTGGACAGAGCCATTTGGCTGAGCTTTGCGGCCATAGAAATAGAATAAATAAAAATAAACATTAGGGAAGGAGCAGTGATAAACAGCTGCCTGGAGGGAAACGGTTGAATCTGGAAATCTTATCTTAAATTTTTGCCGTTAAAGTGCCTCCATCTGGATACAGTAAAGTTAATTCCAAAATAAAGATCTTTAACTTATTCCAGGCACAGTAGTACTAAGAAGAGAGATAACTGTTAAAGATCAATAATATATTATTGCATATCAGCCACAGCCAGCTGGGGACTGGGCTGCTTTCTCAGGAATAAAATGAACAAAAGAAATTCTCTTGCTGAATGATTCTGAATAGAGTGAGAAAGATGGGGACCAGATCAGACTATGTATGTTGTAGAAGACTGAAGGTTAAAGGAAGTAAGATTTGATAATTCTTTAAAAGAGTCATTCTGTGAAAGGCAGCAGACTGAGAATGAACTGGGGCTGTTCTGTGGATGTTTATGGAAATGAATTTTACAAAGAATTTAGGTAAATATGGATCAGCCATGGAAGTTCAATGTTATAATAAAGAAGAAAGACCTACTTGTCTCTTGCCCTTTGGAAATATATACTTTTGAATATAAAGATATTTATATTCATGAATAGTCACTTCTGGTAACCAAGCTGATTTAAACCATTTTATATAGAGCACTACTTATGGGGAAGACTCTTTCCCCAATATGAAGAAGGATATTTTTTTAAAAAAGAAAATAATTTGATTGAAGAAATTATTTGTATTTAGCACTTGGGGCTATTAATTTGGGCCTCATTTAACTATTTGGACATTATTAATTACTCTCTTACATTCCTCCTTTTGTAGAAGCAGAGCTAATGGCTGACAATATTCTCCTGCGGCTTGTTTCCAGACTAAAGAATTAAGAGCTTTCTAAATTATGTGAAGATCCTTACACAATTGATGTGAAGAACTTTCACAGCAAAGATGAGTTTGGAAAAGGTGAAACTAAGAAGAGGAGGACCTGGGATAAAGCTATTGAATGCAGATAAAGGCTTTGAAAAGAACACACAAGAGTTTGCCACTGCTAGTTGAAATAGAGAAATGAAACAAGTCTATGGCTTGATTGCTTAATGGTTTTATGCACTCCTACATATTTCTTAAGTTCCATGGCTGATATTTGTCCTGCCCATATCTCTGTTCTTCATAAACAAATTTCGATGTAGTATGTTGCAGCATTAAAAATACATTTTATGTATTATTTAACAAACATTCAGTTCAATATTAATATAAAAAGGGGTTATTCTAACATTATTACTAAATTATTGTTACATAATAGAATACTTTTATTATGTAAAATTTATCATTTACTATTTCAAGTTAACATAATTAGTTGCCAGAAAAACTACTGAAAATCATTTTTAAAATTCAAGGATTAAAAAATAAAAAAAAGTGTTAATGATCAATTCAGTATAATTGTGCAAACTAAGATACTGATTTACAGAGTTAGCTATCAGAAACTGCTACTAGGTATTGATCTTTCTGTAATTTATCAATAAAAACTTGCCTCTTGAAATGAACAGTCTGGGAAGGAACTTAGGAGCTAAAACTGGAACAGAAAATTATGAAACGTTTGTTAATATGAAATAAGACATTGAAATGGATTTATGTTTTAAACTGGCCATATCTTCTTAGCCAGATACACTATTGTATAATTCTTAAAATCTTAAAACCATTTACCAGATTTTAAAGATCATTTAATTGTGAAGAGATTAAGTGCAACTGAAATGTTAATATTTTAAAATTATTTTAGTTAATTTATCAATTATATCTAAAAAGTAACAAGTTGGGATCCTTGCAAAACTTTAGAAAATCCCTACAGTGTTTCCCAGATGCAAAGCAGAAAAAAGGGAACTTATGAGATAACAATAGCAACTAGGGGACTTTGCAGTAGGTTTCCAACAGAAATCCCAGACAAGGGACATACAAGATTTCATACTTATTACATTAATAACCACTGGAACATGAGGCAGGGAGTAGTAGCTGCCATAGTTGTGGTAGAATGGAAATGGGGACTTGGAAAACAGTAGTTAGGCATGAGGTGGTGAATCCCAGGACCACAGAGGAAATGCTGGTAAGAAAAGGAGTCAAACCTATTTGGGAGAAAAATAGAGGCCGAGTAATGATACCAACTGTGTGTTTTGTGGAATTTAGTTATTTGAAGATTTTTTGGATGCAGCCATTCACAACTGGTTGTTGGTACTGAAACTAAGAGAAATGGCTAAGAAGAAAAAGACATCTAACCCATCATATTCTACTTATGTAGTTCTCTGTGGAGATTCTCAGTCATCCAGGCGATAGTTGTCTCAAAAGTGCTTTTTTTCAAAAGGCAACTGGACTGTTTTTTTTTCCTTGAGGAAGAAGAACAAAATGTTTTGTTTCTCATGCAAGAAACTTCATCAGTTGTGAAGGCAGGGGAGAGGGCATAGAAGGATAGATACTAACAGTTGCGACTGGATGGATAGAACCTATCCTTCCATTCCCCGCACCCCGCCATCACAACTTATGAAGTTTCTTGGATGAGAAATGAAACGTTTTGTACTTCTTCCTCAAGGAAAAAAAACAGTCCAGTTGTCTTTTGAAAAAAGCACTTTTGAGATGTACTTACATTGTATACATTACATTAGGAAATAAAAAATAATTCCCTAAATAAAGTCTGGTCATTTCACATACAGCTATTAATCTTGTGCTAGTTCTATTCTATTCCATTTGTTATATTCCCACATGAGCATTCTGATATCCTTGAGGTTTTGGTAGATGAAGATTGGTGAGAAAGAAATGAACAGCATAAAAAGTAGTGCTCTAGCTTGGATCCTGGCCTCACATTCATCTTTCCTATTTCCTTGTCCTGTTTATTTTTTAAGTGAGTGAGAAAGAAACAAATCAATGATTGTGGTAAAGGGGAAAAATAGTTAACTGTTCAACTGCTTATAGAGATAGAAGAAAAATCCTGGGAGATGGGATAGAGTGGGTAGTGCAATAGGAAGGTGCAACTTCATACTGCAACATCAAAGAAAATGCTACAAAATTGTTTTCTGGGGAATGATGTTTCTCACATCATTTTGGATACTATAATGGTATGTAAGAATGATCTTGGGAGACCGGGAGAAAACATACTGCCCAGGGAATGGGCAAATAAAAGGGAGATTAGCCCATAGCTGCAGTGTGAGGAGAGCGAGAGATTCAGAAGAGAACCTCATTAAGTTACTGGCTATAATGATGACAGAAGGAGAATTGTTCTTTCATACTTCTGTTAGTATAGCTTTACAATAAAGTAGAATTAGCTAATATGGCCATGATTTTTGTCTTCTCTACCTGATAAGGCTGACATCAATCTTGCAAGTCTGAAAGTATAATTCTGCTGCCTTAGCCCTTTGCAGTCTGAGAAGTTAAGGAGAGTCCTTTTTGAGTCTCTCACTCTGTCCATTATGCAGTTCTGGGCTATGCTACCTCTTATCTGACTGTTCCCTAGGCAACATCTCTTTGCCTGATTTTACAAGATCATTGCCACATGCTATTATGGGTACACATATGGAAGCAACCTATATTTAAGTTAAAAGGATAATGAAGGGTTAAAAATCATGGTGGCAGAATTGTGTATTTAAATCAAATATAAGAAATAAAATTTTAATACTTATTGTCTAACTATAATTGCCCTCCTATAATTAACATGTAATTACAGCTCTGTAAAATCTATCTAGCCAATAGTGGCTTGGAAAGAAACAAAACATTTAAAACAAAAACGTTTTGCATGAAAATATTTTAAAGTGTTAATGTTGAGATTGGTCTATTTATTATTATAATATGTAGCAACCTTCTTTTTGTGCTAAATAAAGCTTAATGCAATATGTATATAACAACTGTAATGAGTAGTAACCAGATTCAATAGAACAAATTACACTAATCAATATTTTAAATAGCAACTGTACCAAATTCTCTAGGCTGCAAAATCTTTCTAAAACATAGGAGATAGATTATAACTTTCTTTTTGATACCTGCAAGATTATCAATCTCCTTCTCTTGTAACAGACTGACAGCATCATCATCCCCTTCTAGCATGAGTTCAGTTTCAGCATTTTGGTTGACAACAGCTTGACTTCGAAAGGTTTTCTTTGATTTTACCACATCTTCTTCAGTTCCTGTAAAATAAACATTGCTTTCATTCAACATTTCAGTTTAATCTGAACATCCATTAAACGTTCTCTAATACAAAATTAATGGAATAAATTTGTACTTCAAAATATATTTTCAAATCTTTACAAAAAACAGATGTCATATTTTGGACAAAGACAGTTAGGATTATTAGGTTAATATTATGTAGACTTCAAAATAAAAGATATAACCTTAAAAATGAAAGTATCAAACTGAATGTCTGTTAATAACAACCTGATAAAGCATATGTACTAGAAATGCACAGTCATTTGGTCAATGAGCAGTTTAACAACTTATATCAATCTTCTTGAAATGAATTTTGTTTTACAATATGAAATATACAGTTTTTAAAGGATTGCTCGAGTCCTTTAGTATGATTGAAACTGCAAGTTTTTGTCATTCTTCATCATTCATTTATCTAAATGAAAATGTGGGACACCGAAAGCTGCCCTTCAATCAATGTATCCTTTATAAATTAGAATTCCATTTATCAAAATTACAGAAAGAATTATAATGTCACAGGGGGCTGGCTCATTACAAGGCTTATAAACACTGTTCTTACAAAGAAATGGTTTAACACCTAACAAATCAAACATTGATCGGGCATAGAATTTATTTGAGATCATCTATCTTCAGAAAACATGCTATACTGAATGGACTTTTGGGCCCCACTATACATTCATCAAAAAATTAACAAGCAGCTTCTGTAAACCACTGTATTACCTTGTATCCTGAAATACACAATATGTTCTGAGCAGATTTGTTATAGATATTCTAGTTATAAATTTTAAAGAGAATGTATATAAAGATTCTCAAAAGACAGATCAATATTTTTCTTTTTCAAAACAGAAAGGCATGGAATCAGTTAAAATGCATTTGCTTTAAATTATGCATAGCTAATAATACTAACCCTGAATATGATATAATAAAGGCCAACATTATTGTGACTATTTAGCATTTTTATAATAAAGCATTCAGATTAAAAATTGATATTACTTTTGGTGAAGATAATCTCTGTGTGATAAGGCAACCAATAAATAAATATGTATATACCTGTGCATATGTATATATGTATATTATCATTAACATTTTATAATGGAATACTGCTAATAATAAGGTTCTTTAATTATGATCAATTCTACTAACATTTGTAAGGTTTTGGACCTTTATTTTTATTTCATTAAACATTGGCCAGGATCCTAACTGCATTTTTGAATAATGGTTGGGTTTGTCTTCTGTTATTTTTCATTTTATTTATTTTTAGTCTTTAAATATATCAAGAATTTTGACTATTCAATATTGAAATTGGATAACCTCTTGCAAATTCCTGTTACACTTAGCAACAGAAATAGCACACTTTAAAATAAAACCAGTCTTTTAATAATGTTTAAATGTATATTTAAATGTTGTAAAATACATCAATAAGTCATGTTACTTAAATGATATAAGGTAGTCAGCATTAAGTAAGACATTAACAAGCCTTGGGATTTATAAAATACTTTCATTATTTTGCAACTTTATTTTAATACATGGCATAAATACCTCTACATTCCTGTTTCATATATAGCATTTAGAGTGTAGTTATTGTGTCCCACATTCATTATTTAATCACAAATATTTTTAAACATATATTTTGTAATATAGGCCTGCCTTCTGAATTTTAATATTAATGGTACTATTTTGGTTATTTTTTTTTCAGGCCATAGCCAAGTAACCAATAAAGAGTTAGATATTTATCTGTTTCTGTTTTCAGGATTTAGACTGTCATAAAGGAATAAAAGATCACTTATATTTTCATTTTAAATTTGGTACACTTAAATGATTGCAAGTGCAGATTCATTTTAATGTACTCTGTCTTAAAATCAGATCTGTATTCTTTTATAGGAACCCAAGAGATGACATTCAAATTTCCTGTAAATGCATGAATCTAATCCCCAAATTACTTTTTGTATACGTGTAGCAACAAAAAAAAATTCCTGGTCTTCTGGAAAACTGCATGCAACTTTAGAGATACTGTATGTCTATTCTTTTTCCCTTACCTTCTTTAAACTTTTTAAATTTCTAAAATAACAATATATGATATTCTAACATTTTTGTACAAGATATAATGTGATAAAACACTACAGTAAATAACCATTGCCATGAATAATTAAGGTTTAGGCCATAGTGACCTAGCCAAATTTTATCAGTCAATCTTTATTATGTTATTTGCTGAAGACTACAACTGTACTAATTCAGCATAAATTTAAATACTCAAAAATGTATATAATTGTACCTATCTAATTGATAGGTACAATTAAAGACAGAAAAATAATGGTTGGAAAATATACCATAGTATGGATCAAAATTAAATTTATTAGGAAATCATAGTATAGACTAGAGAAATAATAAGATACATAAGGTATGTTTCAAACCACTGCACATCTTGTACTATATTAACAGAATTAGCCCTTATGGTTTCATGAAAAATATAGTTGGACCGTAGAAGATATTTTTTAGATATTTCCATACCTTGGCTTATGACTCAAAGACACTAAAGGCACTCACTTGGATCAAAAGGAAGAGTATATTAACTAATTCTATTGATAATATTCATGAGGTATGAACCCATATAATCATTCACTTTCATGGCAAATTTGTCAATTATGAAGTTTTAGTTGGTTATAAGCACCATCTACTTACCAACTTTTTTAAAAAATTGAAATGTATAGTTTTATATAATTAATCAGAAAAAGGGGAATTATGTCCACAGAAGATTATTATTAATAAAATAACAAGAATAAAAATAAAAAATGAATAATTTAGATGCTTTGAAATAAAAGGTATTATTACAGCATAGTATTAAGATTTATAGGCCACCTATCTTGTCTAGACGCAACTTAAAAGTATGTTGGATAGAAAGCCAAAGCTCTTACAAAACCAAACAAAACTGGCCATTTGTTCAATTTAATAAGAAACCTTTCCTCTGTGTATGTGTCTCTATTTTCCCCTCCTCTTTCCCTTTCTCTGCATAAATTTCATAAAGCACGAGAAAACAACCATAAAATAGAAACTTTTTAAAAAAGCATTTGACATATCACATTGATTTGGATAACATCCATATTTTCTTCTCAAATGTCACTTAAACTTATAAATTCTCATTTAGATTCTTCAGGTCACAGCTGGTTCTAGGTATGCAAGCTAAACATCAAAGATTACCTGCTGTGTCCATAACTATTAGAAGCCAGTTCAAGGCTACTTGAATAAATGCACAGACAGTATATGGCTGATTTTAGACATGAGTAGACTGAAGAGCAAAAAAAAAACAACACCCAAAATTTCACATCCAACTCTAAGTCAAACATACAATTCAGTTCAAATAAACTACTCAACTTCATAACTCATTAACATTTATTTGACTTTAAAGCCACTAATTTAATTTTAAAGGTAAAGTGGAAATAAAAGTACAGTTAGTTTAGAAGCTGTGATACTAACCAAAAGAGAATTCTGCTTCTTTCAGAATTCATTCCACAGCTTACTTCAGTGAATTATAGATAAGGCAATTTATGCAGTGATTTTTCTTTCATCTTTGAAGAGGGCTGGCAGAATGGAAAGTTAACTCATTTTAGTGTTACCTAAATGTACTGACAGGAAATTCTAATGTTTCCAAACATCTGGAAATCAGCTTCATGGAGTGATTTCTTTTCTTAAAAAATGCTTTTTCTTATATTTTACAGCTTTGTGTGGCTTCTAAAAGTGTGTCAACATAACTAAAGTTTGTCCCATTAACAATAAAACAATACGCTTAAGTAAAAAATATATTTTACACAATAAAAATGTAAGGTGAAACTTTCATCTTGTTTCTTTCTGAAACTATTTAGTCAGTGTGCAACTTTTACTAGTATTGTCTTAAGTTCTTAAATAGTAATGAGTAGTCTTTTTTAAAATACCATTATTTCACTACCTGATAAAGTATACATTTTTTCTAAGCAATATTATTTTTTGGTTTATTTATTATTGTATTCCTCTACTATAAAGTAAGTGTAAAATAAAGATATTCAAAATATAATCATATGCAGATACTATCAGGCTGAGACTGAAGAATATGGTAAAAAGGCATTTGAATTTCTTCACAAATGGGTGTATCATAAACTAAAAAATTTCTGGCCTGATTCCTGCCAAGCACATCATTATTCTGGTTATTAGCAAAAAAAGAAAAGGAAACCTTGCTAACTGAGTCAGATGATCTAAGAATACATCAGAAGAAAGTACTAACCTTATAGAACTACTGTACATCAGGATGTAAGATCCTAGTTTGATGCACTTCACTAATAAGTTCTTTACAAATTATCAAGAATATCTTAAGTTTTCCTTAGCTCTGTTCTACCCCAAAATTCTAGGGGTTGTAATTGCATGGTTCTTGAGCAGCAATCTGAAATATATTCTAAACCTTTCTGCCAGTTTATCAGTATTATATTACTGTGATCATTAAGGTGATAAAGGCAATAGCATTAAAACCATTGCTTTTCAGAAGTATTCACCATAAGAACTTAAAATAGTTTATGAAGGTGATGTTTAAATTCTTCTTAATGATTTTGTTATGAATTTATTAATATACCTACTTTATTCTTTACTCAAAACCATCCTGAAGTCATAATTGTCCATGACAGATTGAATTCCTACCGTTTATAATGCCTTTTGGTTTTAACTCTATATACAATTCTTCTTCTAAGGAAGAATGTAAGATGTTTCTATTTTTTATCTGTTTATTAGAAAATCAGTAAATAGAGCATTAAAACTCAGTTTGGTAAAGTGGCAGAAAATAAAAACAACTTTTTTGTAAAATGTTTCATGCAACAGTTTTGTTCAGATGTGGATATTAAAGTATATTATTTATCCCTTCTTGAGTGCTTTTCCTTCTGCATTCGCTGTAGAAGTTGATACAATATAATACAATTGTCAGTTAAAGAAAACAGTGATAAACTAAGTAGGAAACTACTTTGATTTA